CCCTTTCTTGTTGCTCCCTCTTCCCCTATGTTTTGTTCCTTTTATACAAGTGAATATAGGAGGCTCAGCTTCTTTCTTTGTTGGTTACAGTTTGTTTGAATTGCACCGACTAGGTGTTCTCACCCCTCCAAGGGAGACAGAGACCTGGGCAGCCTATTCCAGGCCCTCCCCTCCAGGTCAACCTACTGAAGGCTTCACTGCTAGGGTGCACCTCCAGGCGCTGGGACCTGGTTTGCGCTAGCCTACTGGGCCTTTTTTTTTTTTTTTTGTCTTTTTCATTTTTATCCGTACCAAGATCGAACTCACGACTGCCTGCTTGCAAGGCAGGTGCTTATGCCGCTGAGCTAAATCCCCAGCCCCACCTACTGGGTCTTAGTCAGCGGCGTCACGCAGGCCAAGCACTCCCCACCAGTCCCGCTTGAGAGGGGAATATGTGACTGAAGTCACTGCAACAACCTGTTCCAGCTAGTCTGTCTGGTCCAGTATGTCCTTTGCTGAAGCCTCCTACTCTATGGAAGGGTCCCCGATCCGCTCACTCACCGCAGGTCGATGCAGGGCACCCGGCCAATCCCGCTCTCAACTCCATTCACCGCTTCCCACTCTCAGAGCTTTAGCGCCTCTCTCCTTGCCGTGCCGATTGCGACACTGCAGAGGCTGCAGGAAATTCAAATCTCAGCTTCCAGTGGTGCGGGGTCCAGCTTCTGCGCTGAGACCTTATCTGTTCCTGTTGTAGCACTGGGATTGCGTTTCCAGTTGGTTTCTCTTAGTTTAGTTCGTTCCTGGGTCGGCAAAGTATATTTCCCCTTGCTTAGGATTTCTCGCCCGGCACCATTCCTGGATTTTAAGTGCGGTTTCTCAGAGAGCTTCCGCAGTTGCTGCTATCTATCCTCCATGTTCTCCCGGAAGCCTGTTATTGGGTTTTGTTGTTGGTGTATAGAAATGTAAGTTTCAGGCTGGGGATTTAGCTCAGTGGCATAAGCGCCTCTCTTGCAAGCAGGCAGTCATCCCTGGTTTCGATTTAAAAAAAAAAAATGCAATTTTCTTTTCTATATCTGAATTTAGAAACTTAGCTTAATTTGGCTTGTAGTTCTAGTAATTTATCTCTTCTTCAGCATTCTTCTGAATTTTCCAAGAATCCTAATCATAATCTGTGAATTATGACAGTTGTGTCTTTTTTCCCAATCCTTATGTGACTGTGGGCTCTACCAGATTCTGGCCCCAACTATCTGAATTTGTTTGTCCTCCTGCCATCAAGAATACCCATAAAAGTGGAAAAAATGAGTTTATTCACAGTTTGGCCAAATTGGATGGGCAACTATTTTGTCCTCCCCCTAGCACAGAAATACTCTTAATTTATAAAACAGGTAGACTAAAAGCCAGGAAATGCACGTATGTCAATTGAGCCAGGCCTGGGCCTACCAGAAGATTCAGAAAATGTTTAAAAATCAGGGTTTTAACATTTCTTGGTTTCCTTTCTGGTGCCAGGGCTGAGAATGATAGTTTCTTTTTCCTAATAGGAAGCTGGAAAAGATCATTTTGAAGATCCATTTTAGAGTCTTGCTAATCATTTCCCCTGGCCTATTCTATCCGTTGATTTTGAGGGACTTGGGTGTGGTGTCCTCTAGCTAGATAGCTGTTTATTTTTGGGTTGATACATAGATTCTATCAAAAGTACCTGGAGCATAAGTAAAACAAACCAGATACCTTGAACCTAAAAAAAGGTACCTCTGGAGCTGAATACAAAAGGGAGTCAGGTGGTATGTAATAGTTGTTCCTACTGGAAGGCTTTTTTGCTGTTAAGCAGCCATGCATAAAATCCGTTCCTCTGTAACACCTGTGGTCCTGCTTACCTGTGGGTTTTTTTTTTTTTTTTGGTTAAGATTGACATAGATGACTACATTTTGAAACTGAGCAGTTTCCCCACCTTGTTTCTGAATGCATTTTTACTTCTGAAAGCATTGCTAATTACTTATATGTGGGTGGGTTGGGTATTATGTTCCAGTGATGAGAAAGTAAGACATTTTGGTACCAGGAATGGGATTGTTGACTTAACTATCTGAGCATGTGATTTAGAAGCCTTTGGAAGTGGTTCATGGAACATGTTTGGAAAGGTTTGGAAATAAGCTGGAGAAGCTCTAGAATGCTATAAGCTGAACTTAATGGGAGAGTCTGGTCAGAGCTCCGAAGATCAGAATTTAGATTAGGGGGAAAAAAAAATCAGGCAGTAAAGACCAGGGTCGGGAGGCTTCAACTGGTAATAAGAATTCTATTGGCAGTTATCAGACTCAAGACCGTATGTGTTATACTTGAGATGATGTGTATTATCCCCTGGCAGAAAATTTGTCTACATTTTACTCATGTCCTGAGACTTTGCTGGAAACTGAGACTGTGGTGGCAGACTAATCTGGTAGAAGAAATTTCAGGGGCAACTGAGTGGCATTGGTACTGCTGGTGGATTTTAGTCATATCTACACTGAGATGCAGAACCAAAGTGCAGAGCTATGGAATTTGAAAAAATTTGCTTGTGGCCAGAATGGAAGCATCTGTAAAATTGGGGTCTGTAAAATTTTTGTCTTGAAGAGTACTTGATTGATGAAAAGATTAGTGTTAAAAAGAAGTATTTTGCATCAAGAAAATAGGACAGAGAACATGAAAACATCTGAGAGATCCACCAGACCGTAGCCATTGCAGGCCCAAGGGTACAAAACTGTAAATCTTTCATTTGTAAAGAGAGTGCTAATGTTTCAGGGAAATAACTCCTAATTTGTTAGATGTGCTAATAAGTTCCCATGCCTCCCAACTCCAAAGAATGGACTTGCATATAAAGGAGGTTAAGGGTAGGAAAGTTTTATTAAGAGAAAGCTCCTGAGAAACAGCAGTCCTCAGGACTTTACTGTTTCTACACAGTAAGATCATGTCACAGGTTACATTGCCTCAAACTACAGTACAGTTATTACCTGACACTGATCTAATAGAAAAACAAGATACAGAGCCAGAGTATATATCATTGAGAAGAGCAGAAGTGTTTCTGGAAGGGATAGGAGGGAGGTTCAGAGGATTCTGGCCATCGTTTTACATGTTTGCTGCATTTTTTCCTACATGTTTGTGACATTGATTAGGTTTACTGGGCCAAATGGTGCTCGCTGTCTAGGGGAGGTGACACTCCTAGCCATGGTGTCTGCATCAGTCCTTGACCAACAAGCCTGGTTTGCCTCTTCTCTGTTTTACTGTTTTGGGCCCAGTCTCTTTGAAATTGGCTATCAATCTTTACCTAACTTAGCTATCTGTAACTAGGACACCCTGTTCAAAAAGGGCCACCTAGGAAATTGGTCCTCTGGGATTCCATTCACAATGTTCCACCATCCAGGGACTCAGATCTTCAGTCTCGGTTCTAGGGGGCCTGGCTACTGCTCAAGCTGGCGACAGATCTTGGCAGCATCCATGTGTTACTGGTTTTACACGTGTGTAGAATGGAGGACTTGTACCGCTAGGGAGGCTTCCACCCAGATTACAGAAGAAGATGTGGGAGGCCAGGCAGTGTGTTCATGAGAGGGCAGTGTGTGAAGCTGTGAGAATGTAGTTGAAGGTGCAGTGGAGACCCCGGAAGCTGGAGAGCCCTAGAACATGAAATGTCTGCTGAAGAAGGCTGCAGGTAGGTAGTGAGCAAAACTTCCTCAAGAGAGAAGCCTTGAGGGCCTCAGCTGGCAGTGCCATAGTGCTGGGGTGCCTACGTCCCTTGGAGCTTTCCTTTGTGCCCCAAGAACTGAAGATCAAACTGGTCTGTTAGTAAAAGAACTAGACTCCTTTCTATGGTACCTCTGGGTAATTTCATAATGGGTCACCAGTATGAAATTTTTTAGAGACTTGTTACTTATATTTTAAGGAGTTTCTTCCCAATGTAAGGTTGGAGGCAGTGGTTGTTCTCATTTTTGGAGACACTGAGATAGGATGATAGGGAAAAAGATCTTTATCTTTGGTGGAGCCTGGGAATCCAAGTCTCTTGTTTCCTCAAGGGCCTTTGTCTTATTTAAGTACCATGTTATTATTTTAATTTACTATAAGAAGGACTCATTCAAAATTGGGGCAGTTTCTCCTTCCTAGCTTCCTATAGCAGTTATCTTCTGCAGGAAAGGGGCACCCCCTCACCTGTGGCCTGGGGCCAGGAGGAGCCCCAGAACCCCCTGCAAGTGCACACGGCTGGGCGAGGTCTGTGCCTGCAGCTGCCTCTTGCCTCCCTCCTGTAAACTCCTTCTGTGCTTCACCACTACTTTTCTCTGTGTTAACTGGACCTCTTCCTGCCAGTCAGGCACAGCCTCAGGCTCTGATAACATTACCATTTTTTTCTTTTACTCATGGATATTGGTGTTGCTGTTTACTGCTTTCAAGTTATTAGTCCTTCTCTACTGTTACCTAGTGTCTTATTAGGAATAACTCAGATGTCATATGAGGTGACTGTTTCCTTCAGTTTGTCATTTACATTATATCTTTAGATTTTTTTGTGTGTAGAAGTATAAACATTATACAGTCAGACCTGTAATCTTTTATAAAGCCAAAGTCAGTCTGAGATAATACATTCATAGCTGTTTTAAATTTGGGGTTTTCCTATGTAGGTAGGAAATTGAAAAATAGTTAAACTACTCATAACCTCAAGTAGATATTTTCATATATTAACATAACTCTGGAATTGCGATAATGCTGATTTTTAGTCCATATTAATTTGAATTATAATTTTTTTCTATACTGATTTCTCTATTTTTCTTTTGATGTATATTTCTGAAACTGTAAGTGAAAATTTGAAAGAATATTAAAATTTAGATTTTCATTCATATTTTGTCTTCCTTAGTGATAATAATGCTCATTAATCATGTTAGGTATAATTTGAGATAACAGAATATTGACATTGTTCATACAAGTATAGAACATTTAGTAGGACAGGAAACATTTTATGGAAATTGAATGTACACTTACTGTTTTCAATTATGTAAAATGTTTTCTTTTAGATAAGCGATGAAGAGAAGAATCATCGAGAACAGGACATTATCGCCTCATCGCTGAGTTTAAGTGGTACTCAGTTAGGATTGGAATCAGTGTACAAGGTATGTAAATGTTTGAAGTATTTTCTAGGATTTGTTAAATTTGTATCATTGTGGTTTATGTGCAGATTTAACCAACCCAAGGGCATAACCCCCCATCTCTTTTACTACTCCCTGTCTTGCACAGATCATGGCCTCATCCCATGCCAGTATGCAGTGCTTGTCTTGGTCCTTCCAGATGCAGACTCCTTCCTGATTCGCTGGGGTTTGGAACCTTGTGCAGGCATTCTGTTAAAGGAACAGTCTTGGGTTGGGAATGTAGCTCAGTGGTAGAGTTCTTGACTGACATGTGCAAGGCCTTGCATTTGATATCCAGCACTGCAATAATAAAAATAAAGTGAAATACTAAACAGTGCTTGGGCTCTCATACCTGCCACAGGGCGTTTTCCTGTAGAACCCTTTCACCTTGTGTTGGGTGCAGCATCTTAGATGAATTGCTACTGTCACTGCTCTGGGATTCTGATGCTGTGCTTTGGGCTGTGTCCTCTTGTGGTCTCTCTGGAGTCCCATGTGGGTTCCGGCCCTCAAGCCTTGCTTGCTTCCCTGTGAGAGTGCCTTCCTTCTGTACTCAGAGTTATCTTCCTTTATGCTGGACGACCTTGACGTCCCGTATCTCTTAGTATAGATACTTTGTATTAACCCCACCAAATGACTTTTATAATGCTAGTCCTGAAGGGGAAGACAGGAGAGCTGAGATTCAGTTTAAAATTTGATAACTGCAGCCCCTTAATTCCCCTTGAAAGAAGGTGCTGATGTTCATTGGTTAGTGCCAGTAAACTTAAAATTCTGCCTCTACATTAGTTCCTAATTCCGCCTTCCCTTTTTCTACCTGTTGGGCTATCCTTCAGTCTACCTTTCAAGTTTGGAGTATAGGAATCAATATTTATTCCTCCCATATCACACATTACTCATTACTCTGCTTTCACATCATCTTTTTGTTTCTCCTTGTGCATTTTTATGTCCATTGTAACCATCCTAATAAACTAGACTCATGGAGTAGTATAGCTAAAGAACCTGTAAGGATCATTTAGCTAAACTGTTTGTCTTCTTTCCCAAGTTTATGAGTTCAGCAGTTGACGTTTAGAGTCATTTATTAAATTTACTAAGTCATAGATCCAGTCAGGAGCAGACCAGACTGGATTCCGGACTTGGACTAAAACGCTTGTTTCCACACTTTTGTTCCCTCTTCTTGGCTGTGTTACGACTCACTCTAAACTCTTTTACTTGTTCCTTTTGTATGCCCCGTTGATCCGCTTGTTGGTGTGTGTGTCCATGGTGCCATTCCATGGAGCTTTCCATGTGGGGGTCTTTTGCTCTTTTGTCCTAGAGATGAATGATGAACTCTTTGAGGGTCATGGAATTGCATTCAGAAATGAGTACATTTATCAAAAGCTACCTGGTTAAAAAAATGTGTTGTTTATGTGTTGGTGTTGTCAGATATAGAATTGTAGGCATATAGGTGTTACTTTTCCCTAAAATATGGGTGAAGAGAAAATTTGGGGATCAGTTTTTACATGATTTCTTGTCTCATCTTAAAAAGGAGAAAAAAGAGTGAGGATGATTTTCACAGTTAATAATATATTAATTATGTAATTATTATATTTATTACATAATATAATTATATTATATATAATATATATCATATATATTATACATAATATATATAATTATGTAATATATAAATACATATTACATAATATAATTATGTAATTAATTATATTACATAATTAATATATTTTGCTTATTTTAAAATTTTACAGTAGTTAATATAGTAAAAAATTTAAGTTTTATTTTTTAAATATATACAAAATTTATAGTAAATAATTATTTTAATAGAAAACCTGAATGCTTAGTACAGTTGTACCTTGGGTTTGCAAACTTGATTTGTTCCGTGGTTCTGGAGAAGATGGCCACAGTCTTCTTTGTTACCCAATGCAGAGTTTGTGAACCAAAGCAAAAAAAAATTTTTTTTTTTTTTTGGTACCGGGGATCGAACTCATGACCGCCTGCTTGCAAGGCAAAACCAAAGCAAAATTTTGAGAAACATTTTATTTGCAAATGGGATTGTTTGCAAACAGAAGCATTTGTGAAGTGAGATACTATGGTATTTCCATTTTTTAGTGTTAAGGTTAGTTTTTCTGATTTCTCTAGAGAAAAAAACTGGAAATGTAGAGGAAGCAATTTGAAAATACTTTGTTAACAAGTAATTTTTAGCACTGAAAATGTAGTATACAAATGAGGATTTTAGTCAGTGCAGAATAAAATGTGGAGTGTGTCTGTGAGGTAAATGTAATATGCTTAGAAGTGTTGAGGTGTGAGTTTGAAATTATGAAAATTGCAATTTGTAAATTCATAGGTTATGAATAAAAAGAAAGCATTTTAATTTGGCTTTTATGTTAGTCACCTTTTTGTGACTGTGACAAAATATCTGAGCAAATCTACGTAGAAGAGGAGAGGTTTATTTTGGCTCAACATTTCAGAGGATTCAGTCCATGTTTCTGTGGTTCAGTTCTTCCATATTAGGGAGCAAGCAGTAGAGCAGTGGGGCTAAGCTCAGGGTAGATAAGAGGAAGACAGAGAGGAGGGGTGAGGGGCATGATACAGTCCTCATGGCACATCTCTACTCCTTCAACTAGTCAAAACTGCCTGAGTTCATGTCTGCCCAATGATATCATCACATTGTGAGTTCATCAATGGATTAGTCCACTGATGAAGTTAGATACCTCATGACCTAGTCATCTTCCAAAATCTGAACTTTTGAACACATGAACCTTTTGGGAGACATTTTAGGTCCAGACAGTAGTAGCTATTTGTTATTATCATTATTATTGAAACAGCTACTCTGAAACAAAATTTATCTTTGTATTGTTATGATTTGTTAGTACTAATAGTTTAGTTTTAAGAAATATGAACTGGTCTTTTTGGGTGTTTTTGGATTTGCTGGAACTAATGCATTTCTTTGTTTAGTCAGTGTTTATGAAGACTGGGAGGATTTCCTAATTATAGGTATTGACTTGTTTTTACTGTTTCTTCTGGATTCAGATCCCTTTTACTGATGCTCTGGATTTGTTCCGAGGAAGGAGAGTCTATTTGGAAGATGGTTTTGCTTATGTGCCACTTAAGGACATTGTAGCAATTATCCTCAATGAATTTAGAGCAAAGTTATCCAAGGCTTTGGCAGTAAGTATTTCACTGCATTTCCATATGCATGTTTTTAGTTATGTACCCTGGGAAATTTTATTTTGTCTTCTTTAAGGAATAAGTTAATTTAATGTCTATTGCTTGTGTTATTCTCTTAATTCCAGAACTCCTAGGTTTTTATTTATTATATCTACACTGTGTAGTACTTGGTTTTCTAACCTTTCTATCTTCTATATAACTAGTGATGAACTGATTGTGTGAATGACCTCTGGATTTCAAGGTCATGTCTGTTTTCCATGGAGTTGATTGTCACATACGGTCTCTAACAATCAGTGTGGTCTTTGGTGTATATAGCCCCTGAATTTCTGTTCTGAATTAGGGTTTTACATGAGTAGAGGGAAGTGTAGAAGAGTCTTTTTCTTGTGGTGCTGGGAATTGAATCTAGGACCTCACACATGCTAGGGAAAGTATGTACAGAGGTACACTCCTATATTTAGAAGAAAGTGTAAGTATATAAACAGTGCCATGCAAATGCTGCAATAAATAGCTATTACTGTGTGCAATTGAAAAGTGGCTGTTGATTAATTGAAGGATTAATACCTTTGAAATAGTTGATGAAAACATGGCTCCTAAGCGGTGATATTGTAAAACTGAACACATTTTATATGGTTGTCCTTTAATCTAGGTCATTTTATTTTATTTTATTTTTTTGCTACTTTTTTTGTATTTCACATGAAAGAAGACTTCAAAGTATAGTGACGAGGCATTTTTATGCTGATTATTATGTATACATACCCTATAAAGTTAAAAATTATACTATTTTCTGGTCTAGATAAGTTTTATTCACTTTGTGGGGTTACCTAAACATATATCATCCATTTATATCAGCATTTGAGAGGACTAAGATATTATATTAACTCTGTTTTTTATTAAATGAGGCAATTTATGAAAATACCTAATAGATGTCTGAGAGAGAGAGAGAGAGTGAGAGAGAGAGAGAGAGAGAGAGAGAGAGAGTGTGTGTGTGTGTGTGTGTGTGTAGGTATTGAATCTAGGGCCTCATGCATGCTAGGGAAAAATAATTTAATTGCCAGAATAAAAAAGTTAATACCAATAGGCTAATGTCTAATTCTCAGACTAAATTCACTTTTACCAATTGCCTTTTAAAAAAATGTTTATTTTAAACACAATAATACAAGCAAAATAAAACAGAATACAGTCAATCAAAACAAACCAATATAAGTGACACAGGACTTCTAAACAACAGGAAATCAACAGTAGTTACCATGATGCCTCTAGTCTTCAAAATAGCTGCAGATACCTTCAGACATAGTAAATATCAAACAAAACAGAACAAAATAGAACCAGTAAAGACAAAGCAATGAATGCAGTAAAGGACTTCAAAACAAGATAAGAGTAAATCCAAAATGGTTACCATAATACAGCTTGCTATCTTTGAAATAGCTGTCCATGCCATTGGATATAATAAAATCAAACAAAACAAAACAATAAAACTCAGTCCAATAAAATAATGAAGGTGATACAGGACCTCAAAACAAGATATTAATAGGGAATTAACAATGGCTACTACCTTCAGAAGGAGATCCCCGCAAAGTCAGTGAAACACTATGCACTACAAGCATTGTTATATTTTACCTCAATAGCTATCATCCCAGCCTGTGTTTCTCTGGATCAGCAGGTTGTTTACGGTGGGGGTAGGGTGTGGGGTGTTGGTTCTTTTGTTTTCCAGCCCATGCACTGTGAGGGACTGGCATCTGACTTTCCCCTGCAGTATTCCACGCTTGGTGCTGATTCGCAGGGAGGCTTGCTTCTTGGTGACTTGTTTTTCTTTTCCCCCTGCAATCAGTGAATGGTGCTGACTCAGGGGAAAAGCCTGGTGTCTACCTGTCCCCTCAGTTGCCCGCTTCACTCATTGTCTTAGTTGTGTCTTTTATTCCAAAAGAATCCAAAGCAAAATTATATGTGTGTACTTGTCAAGTCTCTTTAGTCTCCTTCCTGCTTGAATAGATTCTTTGTTTCTCCTTGACTTTTATGGCTTTGTCCTTTTTGAAGATTATAGGCTAGTTTTCAAGTTACACATCTTCAGCAAAAATACAGACAGATGCTGTGTTCTATAAAGTGATGATTCATCCTAAGTCTCACTGAGATTATCAACATTTACTCATCATATTGTTAATAGCCATTTGGCCTTTTCTTTTTAGTTACTATTAATATGCTGCTCTGAACATTGTAGTGCATCTTTTGGCAAACACATTTCTATGGGCCATATGTCTCAAAGTGAAACTGTAGGATACAGAGTGTCAGTTCTGTTTTAGTGGATTCAGATTTATTTTAATGAATTTACCCTCCTTCCTGGTATGTTTTGCAGCGTCCTGCTGTCACAGGACTGGACTTGATAGCAGAACAATGACTTGTGGTCTTAGGCAGTACTTGGCTTTTCCCCTTGTGTGTCAGGGCCAGGACTAGCTGAGAGGAGGTAAAGGGAGCACCTTATCACGAAGGAGAGTGGGTGGAGTCCTTTCTTCCTTGGAGACCTGTCCTGAAAGCTGAGGAAAGGGCAAGAAGGAAGAGAAAGTTTCTTTTTAGTATTGTCAAGTAGTATTTTCACATACTGCTGTAGTCTCTTTATTATTGTCCTTTCCAGTGGTGGAGGCTTTGGCCTTGGCGTATATAATTGAAAATTTTCAGCCTTATAAATGGAAATAGTCTTGTAGGATGAGAAAAAGTACCCTAAAGTAGATTTTAAAAAAATATTTTAATTTGTGGTAGAGGTTGAAATGAAAGATACTGGGGAAAGTCATAAATCGATAGGAGAGTTTAATCCCAGATAATATCTGAAAGTTTGTTCTTAACCTATGATTATATGATTTTTATAATGCAACTAATCTGGGCTTTAAGACTGTTAAAAGTTTGACATTACCTTCTTCTTTGATCTGAGCTCTCTTTACCCTGCAGATGCAGTGAGTCTCAGCTGTGACCTATCTTCCCTAGGAAGCCTTTTTGAAGTCTCAAGGTTGTACTGTGTGTGTCCTTTGTGCTTCCACAGAATTCTGCATACTCCAAATTATGATGAAACTATTCTCGTTGTGTGGCTTTCTCCCAATGAAAATATGAGCTCCAAGAGCAAAGGCTCTGTGTTAATTCACATGTTTTATCTAGTGTAGCATGTGGCACATAGGGTCAGTGCTCAGTGAAATTCTTTGCACTGATAGATGCTGTGTCAGAGTATGAAGTTTCTTTTGTTCCTGACTAGTGGTTAATGCATATCTCATCTTCTTCTCACTGCATACATCTGAGACAGACAGGATTGTGATCTGCTGCATATAGATGAGAAAGCTCGAATAGGCTCTGTCATTTGTCCAGGGTTATGCGGATTAGTAATGCCAGAGTGATGACTGGATCTAAGGTTTTCTGCTTGTGATTTTTAGGGCCTTTTGATGATAACTGTGCTCATGTTAGGAGCTGGATAATTGGGGATTTAGATCTTCAAACTCTGAGAAGATATTGAAAGATCTAGTTACAGGCTAATGGTGAATTTGGAGCTATGATGCAATAGATTGATACATAGGTAGGGAAAAGAATGAGAAAGGTAATTTCTATGCTTCACTTTTATATAACAGTCTTAGAAAATACAGTTAGTTTTTGCATTTAATGGTTTATTTTAAAGTAACTTTATTTCTTCATCCATGAATTGTTTTGTGTGTGAGAGAAACGGTATTTAGGACAAGTATTATTTCCTCACTCACAGAGCTTATGTTCTAGTAGGAGAAAACAAAATTACCAAAGAAAAAAGAATAACCATATTATATATGATACAAAGAGGTCAGCTGAACAAATGTAGAGGAAAGTGCCTCCTAGGCAGGGAAAAACCACTAATGAAAAGGTCCCAAAGAGAGAACTTTGGCATTTTTCAGAATAAAATAGGCTGGAATGGTGTGAGCTAGAGGAATGGCCCAAGGTGAGGTTGCACTGGCTTAATGTAGGGCTTTTTAGGATTTTGAATAAATCATGATAAAGAAGTTTATTTTATTTTATATTTTAAAGCTTAATGTAGGAGAACTGGATGTGATGGTGCATGCCTATAACCCCAGCACTAGGTAGACTGAGGTGAGAGGATTGCTGTGAGTTCAAGGCCAGCCTGGGCTACATAGCAAGACCGTTTCTTTGTTTTTTTTTTTTTTTTGTCTTTTTTTGTCTTTTTCCTTTTTATCAGTACCGGGGATTGAACTCACGACTGCCTGCTTGCAAGCCAGGCACTTATGCCGCTGAGCTAAATCCCCAGCCCCCTAGCAAGACCGTTTCTCAAAAAACCAAACCAACCCCAACCCCAACCCCAACCCCAACCCCAACCCCAACCCCCACCCCCATCCCCGAAGGATTGCACACAGGGCTTTGGCACTGAACCCCAGCCCCTTTTAAATGTTTTTTATTTTGAGATGGTTTTCTGGCTGGGCTTGAATTTGCTGTGGCCCTGCGTTGGCTTGGTAAGAATGCTGGCATTACAAAATATACCTCTGTGCGCTCTGACTTATATATATATATTTTTTTTTGTCTTTTTCGTTTTTATCGGTACCAGGGATCGAACTCACGACTGCCTGCTTGCAAGGCAGGCGCTTATGCCGCTGAGCTAAATCCCCAGCCCCCTGACTTATATTTTAAATAGATTACCATGGTTGCTGCCTGGAAACTTGTATGGAGAGAAAAGAAAAAATGGAATTGGGAGGACCAGTTTGGAAGTTTACCACATTAATCTAGCTAGGCTTGAGATGACAATTGACAGTCAGTGGATTTCAGTTATGTTTTACAAGTAGACATGGCAGATTGATGGGAGTGGAAATGGAGTGATCAGAATGGTGATGGTGATGATAACAATAGCTAACAACAATTTAATATTTTCCAAGCACTGTCCTGAATGCCTTAAGTAAGCCAACACATCCATGTTTACAGCAACCCTGTGGCAGCATTGTTCTTGCTCCCAGCTTTCCTGGGTCTCTGTGCAGCCGATGAGGAGCAGGCAG